TCAAAATCAGCTAAATAATTACTACGGGCCTATTTTTTTATTAAACATCATAATTTTGATTGGTTGATCCTTAAAATCTGCAATGATCAGTGATCAGCATATCTAAAATTAGCAGCCAATTAAATTTGGGCTGTTTTGGTTACACAATATTTATTTACTGTTTACTCAAAAAAAAATTACTAGTGCCGTAAGGTCATTTTCAAGGCAAAGATCCTATTTATTAAGATTTTTCGTGGTATTTTGTTTCCTTATGTTCGACCTTGCATTGTATTTAATAAAATTAAAGGAATTAAGTATAGAAACGTTATGATTTTGTGATACTACCTGAAATTGTATCTCAATAGAGAATTATAAACCAGCCACATTAAGAAAAAAGAAATATAGCATCATTAGTAAATATAAAAAAAATGAATAAAAATAAAAATAAAAATAAATAGAGGCGTTAAAAGAAATACTTAACAGATTAACCAGAAATTCTGAAATTCCGCAGTACCGATTTTTTAAACAAGATCAATTCTTGCCTCGACCGAAGTCAATCAGAGTGTAAAACTTTCAGATAGTGTTATTATTAGTGATCAATGAATCAGTAACGCTTTTTACAACATACAGTACTTACTGTGCATAGTGTACTCTAAAAATCCGAACATTATACAAATAGCACTTCGCCAGCAAATCATTTTCAATCGTGATCATTTAGTCAAACAATGCTTCATAATAGTATACAGTGTAAAAGTACGATTAATCGCCGTTATGTTAACCTTATATTTCAAGAAAAAAAAAATAAGTAATGTCTCAGATAGTTAAATCAGATCAGAATGGCTGATACAAATGCATCCGTAACAGATCCCACCTCCAGAATCCACGAGCCTTTATCAAAAAAGTTAGAATGATAGTTTATATCTATTTAGGCTACTGATTGAGATGTAGCGCCTCACTTCTCCACAGAACGCATCCTGTTACGGAAAGCGAAGAGCCTAATAAAAAGCTACTACGGCTACTTACAGAGGAATACAGAGCCCACCCTTTGCCAGACGCATCCTCAAAAGAGCACAAGTAGCCACCACACTGACCTATTGGAGCGGATCAGGCCATTGATATTTAACCTAACTTTTTGTACAATCTATTGGATGAATAACATCATAT